CCCCCCCCTTCGTGAGCCCGTCAGCCCGTGCTCCGGTGGCCGACGGTCCCAACGACCCACGGGGCATCCGAGTGGCAAGACGAGCAAACGCAGTTGCGAGGCTCCCATGGTGGGCACTCTCGCCAGGGTCCTGAGAACGGGGCCACGGCTCGAATCTGTCGGAGCCGCAACGCAAACCGAAGATCGAACGGTGCAAAGAAACGACGTGTCTTTTTTTGAAGCGATGAGTTCACTGACATCGGAAGACACGATCGGCTACACTGACGGTGCAGCGTGCGCCCAGACGTGACGCTCGTCGATTTGGACTGCGCTTGCTGCGTTTCTTCACTCGATTACGCCTACCTTTACCGAAACCACAAAGTCGAAGATATGGTTTGGGGGGCGCGTTGCAGGTCTGCAGAATCTTCTGAAACCCGACAGCTGCATGCTGCCAGGTCTCTCAAGTAAGGCGCCTGTCTCTTTAAGGCCAAGGTGGCATGGCATCTGGCGAGACAAGAAAAGAACTGGAGTGACTCCACCCGGCACCTTTTTGTCATCTTCCGGTTGACGATGCAAAATCAGTATATAAAATGATGAATCATGGCAAAGGAACATGAAGGAGCTTTCAAGTTGAACTCCAAGAGCTTTGCTCTGAGCTCTCGCTCGGATCTTTCTTGGGCCTTTTTTTTCTCTGGTCTCAGGTGAAAATGCACCTAGCCGCTTTGGCCATGGGCAGGCAGCCAGATGTTTTGGCAAGCCAAATCACCTCTTCCCAGGGTGAAACGGGGCCTCTGTCTATGCCCCAACACGTATGCATAGAGCAAACAAGACGTGTAATCCATTATGACTTTCAACTCTATTCTGATTGATCTGGATTTTTCCATGTGACTAATTTGGGAATCAAACCACTTTCATGCTTGCTCGTTCATCATTCTACATTCACCCATTGGTGTTTTCTTACTGTTACATCAGACACCGCCGTCCATGAGCCGGTCCTCACCGCCGGCGCCGGTCCTCACCGCCCGGCGAGGAGCTCGACTTGCGCCTCCAAGGCGGCATGGACCAGCGCGCGGGCCAGGCCCAGCGTGCGGGCGGTGTCGCAGAGCAAGGTCTCCCACTCGCGCGTGCCTCGCGGAAGGAATGGGTTCGGTTCATAAGGCAGGGAAGGAAGAAAAGAGCTTCGGTTAGAACACAAGACGTCGCCATACATCCAACCAACTCGCCAGAACATGAACCCTCTCAAAGGATCTATTTTTGGCCACTATTTTTTGGGCACTATTCCTTCACAAGGATTGTCCGAAAGTGCCTTGTGTGTCGCTTCAGCCCCTCCCTGCCGCCTCGTAGGGCCTCCAACGCTCGACCCCGCAAATTCGCTCTGCTCTCGCGGGGGGTGGAGTGCGCGAAGGGGGCGATGGACTGAGCGATGTTCATCAAATAAAGTTGAGCACTTTGAGCCACCGAGGGCGCCACACCCGTCAGAAGCGGCCGCCGCTCGAGGCGCTCGACGCGGGTGCCACCCCTGGAGAAGTCGTCGGGGGCTTCATTCAACATCCGTGCCAGGTTTTGCATCTCCCGCAAGGTGATCAAGGGCCCCGCAGTTTCCGCGGGCGTTTGTAGGAACTCGTGGCACAACAGATCAGCTGCGCGCACTGGAGGGTTTTGACTGTGTGCCTCCAAACATGTGGACACAAAGGCTAAGAAGGGCCCTGAGTACCGGCGGTTGAAGAGCAGATCTGAAGCTGGGGGCAAATAGCAAGAGCTTCCAATCTCCGGTGCTTCTGGCGTGGGCTGTCGTAGCTCGTGTAGCAAGAGCTCTCGGGTATCACCCCTTGGTGAGACCAGACTCTCCATCTGTAAGCTTCGTGCATAGGGTATCGCATCCAGAAGGACATCCATACCACCCAGTGCCGAGACCAGCAAGAGAAGACCCAAATCGAAGATATCGACCACCGTTTGCTCTGTTGCTCCAGCGGTCTCCAGCGGTCTCCCTTGACAGGTTTTAATCCGCTGCTCGAGGCCAAAGGTCAGCTTGGGCCGCCCACTGGTACTGAAAAGGACCTGTGAAGGCTTCACACAACCGTGGACCACCGGTGGGTCAGCGGAATGTAACACATCCAAAGCTTGAAGAACACTCTGGGCGATTTCACGCATGGCCTCCTCTGGCAAGCCTCCACATGCCTGGATCAAATCATGCAGAGAACCCAAAGGCATATACTCACAAAGGATGGCCATGGGATATCCCTGAGGCGCATCCCAAAAGGCTTCTCTCAAAGCAACCAACAGTCCCGGATTCAGTGCTTGTAATTTGGACCAGCGCGAGAACCAAATTTGCAGTCCCACTCTCAAATGGGCACGTTGATGATCCGATCCCGGGATCTCCATCAAGCAAAAGAGCTCCAAGGTGGCAGGATGCAACATCTTCTTGATGGCAAAGTGCCCATGTCTCTGTGGACATGACGATAGAAAGACCAATGAATCCAATCGGATGGACCCTCCCTCCGTCCCGACCGCATCGGCCGTCCGGGGCTCCTCCTCTCTGCCCGTGTCGGGTGCTCTTGGACTATGCCCATGGCTCGGTAGCTGTGGAGGCCGAGCCTTGGCCACAAAGAAGGCCGCTGGAAGATTCTTTTTGGAACGACTGGCCCGGGGACCGCGGATCCCCTCCATGGTTTCTCATGGTGTCTCGCCTCTTGAGCCAAAGTTGGACCTGAAGAGCAAATTGGCCGTCCGAAAAGCCCTCCGAACGTTCAACATGGAGCAGCAACTCTTTGGACTTCAAGTTGGCCCTGGACATACGTTTCAACATGTTTCAAACACGGACTCGACTCGTTCCCGGTTCTGCTCGTTAGCCTTCACAGAGATCGGCCCGATCGAGATGTCGGAGATCGAACTCGTTCCACTGGAGTTCCTGAGATCGTCGCTCACGGACCAGGACCCAAACACGAGACCAAACTGGAGAGAAAAAGGCCGGGGGTGCGGACTGAGGGTAGGAAGCTACTAGTAACAAGTGCATCGCTACTAGTAACAGGTGCCTTACTAGTAGTAACAAGAAGCTACTAGAAACAAGTGCCTTACTAGTAGTAACAACAAGAATTTCATTATAACTAAAATAAAATTAGCCTCTTGTTACTACTAGTAAGGCACTTGTTACTACTAGCGAGGCACTTGTTCCTAGTAGAATTACAATTAGCAAAGGAAACGTCGTTTTTGGACCGTCCCAAAAGTCAGGACCAACCCGTCGATGCTGGTGGTTCTTTGTCGACCTGGCCGATGCTGGCGGCCGATGCTGCCCAGAATCCGGGTCCAGGCGAAGGGAAGAGACAAACACGGATGAATCATGTAACAAGAAAGTATACAGTAAACATCTAGTAACCATAGGAAGCTTCCTTGGGAATCGTGTGCACGATAGAATCGCTTCACTTGTAGCAACAAGTAGGAGTCCGACCTAGGAGCAAGGTGGGAATCGTTCTTCCCCCAATTTTTGGGATTTCTTCGGAAACATCGATCTGTCACGAGTTCTTCGGCACCATCGCCACCCGACCCGGCGCTGGACTTCCGCTGCCCGAGCGACAGTGAGGGCACGAGATCCTGGAGGCGAATCGGCCCAAACACCGGGCCCATGGTGCACTCACCGAGTCCCTGGAGGCGGGTCCGACGTCGAAAGCGGGGTGGAGCGGTTGGGTTGAGTGGGTTGAGTGCTTGAGTCCGGTCTGAGGGCCCCGGCACTGATGTCGGGGAGGAACTGATCTGCATTATTCCGCACGGCTTCAGAGGTGGCAAAGGATCGAAGCTGGCTTTCCACCCTGAAAACATCAGACGGATCAGACGTGGTGTTGAAGCAGGTGCCACACGTCAAGAAAGGATTTTTGTTGGTTTTTAGCACTCAGCGTACATGGCGTGTGGTTTCCTGGCCTGCCCCCGAGTCTGACCCCAGTGGCTGTGATTAGCGATGCCAGCAGCTGCGTCTCTGTATCCTGCGAGCAAGGAACAGGGAAATGGACGGCAATTTGCCTTCCAACGATAGTGGCTCACGCAAGTGGTTCCAAGCGCAAAGACTCCAAGAACGCAAAAAAGAAAAGCATTACCACTGCGACTGCACCATGCCTCTTTGAACTGATTATTTTTTCTTTTGCGCCAACATATAACCATCAAATCATATCATAATCTCTGGGCCTATTCTTTGCACACCAGAAAACCAGAAAACATGGAACCAGAAAAGTGAACTATCGGAAGACTATAGTTAGTTCCTCTAGAACCCAGTGGTTTTCAGATGTTGTCAGGCTCCACGTGGGTCTCAAATGATCTGAAAGTGCGGCGAAAGCATCTCCACCGTCCCATGTCCCATGTCCAAGTAAGGAAGCCCGCAAAAACACTGAGTGACTATAGTAGCTTCTCGTTACCACCGATGGCCTCCAAGCTAGTAGCGCAAAAAAGGCAAAGCATCTCCTACCGAAAGGTCCTACTACTAGGAGCAAGAAGCTGTGAACGGAGCATTTCGGGCATCGCTACGAACGGAGCGATCGGACGCTA